GGAGGGACCTGATCTTTTCTATTCTAAATAAAATAGTACACATAAAACGTAAGATTACTTGTCAGCCTTGGAAGCAACAACAATAGTTTGACCACAGATACCACCAGTCCTCCTACCAGCCACAACACTAGACCAACTTTTTGTCGAGGTGGTGTATATGTATCAGATTACATGTATATTGTTTGAACGTAATACGTGCGTTGGTGCATGTAGATGATTTCTTCTTTGACTTGACTAGATTGATCCACCATGTCCTAGTTGACCCATGAGTTGGTGACTTTGTTGATTTGCTTGCCGGTCTAGTTCTAAACCAATAATTCACTTGGATGACTAAAGAAAAATAAAAGAAAAATGTCAATAAAATACTTTGAAATGTTTGATGAGAAAAAGTAGGACCTATTTTAAATTGGAAAAAAGTGACCAGATTTGACATGAATAGATTAAAATACCATCATATAAATTCCTTCAACTTCTATTTGTGGCTACACCCGCAAATTTCTACCTCCTCCCCATTCATCGATCTTCATGCTGCATCACAGTTTTACATGACCTCTCTGTCACTGGCCACCTCGTTGTCGCCTTCACAGCCTCAACTAACTATCACTTTCGCAGTCACAACTCCCCTTTACACCGCTGTCACATCTCCGTGTGACAACCACAACTCGCTTCCTGGTCACAAATATGACTCGTTTTTTGAGTTGTATAAGATATTATTCAGACCAAGAGTAATATACTAAATGGCCCCAGGACACAACAGGCGCCCCTGCACTCGTTGTGGGTCTTACATATATTTCTAACATTCATAAATGTTTAACAATTGACCGAAGATTTGTCAAGATACTGGTCAGGTTTGACAAACTAAGATTAAAGAAGAACAAAATCATGTCGATCAGGACAAACTAACCGTCATAATTTTGAGATATGGATGATCGGGACACTTTATGCTCATAACTTATATGTGTGCTCATGAAGCCTATCAAAAATATCATTTTTGGATAATTATTTGTTGTGTACTGAGAATCAACTACAAGATAATTTAATACAAATATAATACTTAGATTAAATGCTACAAATCTAGTATGCTTACGCGAACCTATTAGAAATCATAGATGTGATTGAAAAAATTTGATAAGGACATGACCACGGCTCGCTGGTCGTGTCTTTATGGGAGCTACAGAGATGAATACATGCTTAGAAAGAGCCTACATATATACTTTCACGGCATACGAAGCAATGAGAATCTTTGGAGGATACTTATAGCCGCTTCTTGGCCCTTGTGAAATAAATGAGGAAGATCAAACTCCACAAGTCAAACACGGAGTCGAATGTCCGCTTCTTGTCTTCTCTACATAGTGAATGGAAGAAGTTGTACTCTCACATCATGCAAACCTAAGATATAGATGAGATAGACATTCACATGTTTTACAATGCTCTGATACCACTTGTAGGATCGATTCACCCCCTTTCGATAAGCATCTTCGTGGGTCACTCATTCTTGGGCTTTGTGACCCCGAGCTCGCTTAATTAACTATAGAGTCATGTGGTTAAATAGCACTCATATCCTTCTTAAAACCAAATGGTGATAAGAAAGTGGACACTCTCTATTTAACACATTAATTTGTAATCCTTAAGTCAAGGTGGGTTTATGTGGGGAACCCCCACAGTTCACTACGACCCATACAAAGTGGTGAATGGACATGAGGGGCTGCACCACATCGTGGTGCCAGTACGTCGGGTATAATCAAAAGGTTAGGCCCAAAATCCAAGGGTGGTTTTGATCCCCATAAGACTAACATATGATTAAGTAGTTCTCCCACCATGTAAAACAACCCATCTTGTTGTACCCTCTATGTTAAACGCAATTAGGTGCATGTTTCTTGTCCAGAAAGTAATGTTGATTGTTTTTACCAAGTCATCAAATAAAAATGTGGCATCTGTAAACCACATTTGAGTCCGACCATCTATTTCTCACGAAGTAATGGTTTAGGGTTTGGAATCTGCTAAAGCATTCAAAGAAAGATTTTGTGGTTTTAAAAACTCTTGAAGAAAAGTGAAGTATTTTTCACCATTTGATTCCGGGACTTCAAAGTGGAAAGCATTTTCAGGTAAAAACTCATTCACAAATTTGGCTATGCGAATTATATTCTGATTACCCAACATAAGTTAAATCCCAAGAAACAAAACACAAATAAAATGGTGACTATTGACTATTTTTCTTGTTAATGAATCGTTCAGAAACCCAACAACTTTATGGTAATAGAGTACTCACACGATGAAAAATGTTCTTAAAAGGAATAGAAAAAAATAAAGGTCAAGCAACTTTACTATTTTTCATTAGATGCATAATTATATGAAGTCTGGATTACTTTGCTACAAATTACTTCATCTTACCAAACTTTGCAACTTATGATAAAATAGTAATAAAGCGAATGATGTACAAGTTTAATACAAAACTCATACAATAATAGCATGAAAGTCTCAAATTGCAGAACAAACAAAACAATGATATTGAAGAAAACTTAGTAATGAAATAATAGAGAAAAGGCAACAAATATGGTGTTTAATAGAAACCCCCAAAATACCATATAAAAGAATAGTAAAGCATAAAATGTAATATAAACTAACATGAAACTGAATAAGAGAGAAACATGTGTCATTGTTTGAAACGCATAGTTCCACATTTGTGATTGATGACGTCGGAAAAACAATGCACTTCCATTTATGGACAATAAAACTTAAACCTAATTGCGTTTAAAAGATGGAGTACAACAAGATGCGTTGAATTCATGGTTGAACAAAGCCCAAGGATGGGTACGCCACTAGGAAGTTTATCGAAAGGGGTGAATCGGTCCCACTAGTGGTATCAGAGCATTGTAAAGCGTGTGAATCTCCATCTAACCCCAAAACTTTGGTTTTCCTGATGTGAGAGCACAACTTCTTCCTCATTTCATTCATGAGGGTCAAGAAGCGGATGTAAGTTTAATTTCCTCCAAAGATTCTCCGGGTTTGGCCTTGAAAGAGTCTTGTGCAGTGAAAGTATCTTTTTCTTTGTTTTCACCCATATCTCCTAACCGACATAATCTTGTAAAGTTCATCCCGCATGTTAAAACAAATTCAAGGAAATTTAAGAACCTGTTTCTCCACATCATATACTCTTCTCTTCGGAGGATTGATGGTTTGATGTCGTTACTGATTGAAAGTGGGTCCTTTTTTATTTAGCAGATTATGATCATCGAGGTATATATATGATATGTGGTATTGATCAATTCACAACAATACGGACTGAAATGTTTTTTCGACTTCGAGAAACTGGATTTAAAAAGTTAGGTTCAAAATCTTGATTTCAAAAAGTTTTGTTAAAAAACTGAATTTCGAGATATGCTCGTTTGAAAACTGACTTCCAGATTTGCTAGTTTAAAAACTTACTTTAAGAACTATTCATTCGAAAACAGAGTTCGAAAAGGGAGTTCGAAAGGTGAGTTCAAAAAAATAGACTTCGAGAAGTTGACTTTGAATACTCCTTTTTGAGAACTAACTTCAAGAAAAACAAAGGCTGACTTCGCGAAATCCTAAATTTTGAAAGATATGGACTTTGAGAACTAACTGTGAAAAGTTGGTTTCAAGAACTCACTTTGAGAACCCTGTTATACGAGGAATATTTTTTGAACAACAGTTGCGAAGAAATGGATGAAAAACCAAAATCCGTCAAAAACAAAGATGCAATACACGGAAATGATCATTGTATGCAAAATGCATTCAATTTTTGACACGTGGTTGTCTCTAATGCAGCCCCAGATGCCGCCCGAAATGCAACCCCTGCTGCTTCAAATGCAACCCCAAATGCTCCCCCACGTGTAGCCCCAATGTTGCCCCAAATGCTGCCTTACACGACTAACATGCATGGGCATGGGGTTCATACCTACTCCAGCTTATCATGGAATGGCACCCCAAATGTGTTTTCCGTCGTATTATCAATCACGTCAACAATTCTTCACTTCAATTCTCTTAGACAATCCAGAGGTCACTTACATGGTCGGGGCATCAGTCAGGGTGGTGATCTGAGTGATGGTCAAACTGATGATTAACTTGAATCAAGCTCATAGTATAGCACAGATTCTGATACTAACCTGCATTGTGACGGTACCAGTGAGAACTCTCCCAGCCCTCTAAATATGTAGATTGTATTCATAGACTACTGTCTAAGATTCTGCAATTTATTTTGTTTGATGATTTTTTATGTAACAATTTCTTTGTCGCAGATGTTAGCCGTGACAAGGTTTTTTTATTCTGAACAGAAGTAATTGTCCCGAGTTTTATTCATAACAAATTTTTTTAAAATATTTAAAAGTTTGTCATGATCATTTTTGTGACAAATTCAAAAATTCTAAATTTTTCATTGTCCCGTTGTCAAGGATTCAGTTTATGAAAAATTAAAATTTGAAAATTTTTGTCGTCGTATTGTCAAGAATTCGTTCCGTGACAAACTCAAAATTTTAAATTTTCGTTGTCCCGATGTCACATATTCATTCCGTGACAAATTAAAATTTTAAATTTCGCGTTGTCGTTGTTTTGTTCACGAATTTATTCCGTAACATATCAAAATTTTAAATTTTTTTGTCGTCCTATTGTCACAAATCCATTCCGTGACAAAATCAAATTTTCAATTTTTTCACAAATTTTATATCCCTAGCAAAATCAAACAACTCTGATCAGCACCTCCTCTGGTGTCCAGTTTGTCATGAATATTTTTCCGCAACAAATTTTTGTCACGCTAGTGGTGTCACGGAAAACATCTGTGACAAAATCTATGACAAATCATGTTGTCAGGGATTATTTACAATGATGTCAGTAAGAATGTTCCTGACAACAGAGCTGTTTTTTGTGTGTGGTCACGTGCACGGTGCATGGACACAAGTCTTGCATGATATGGTACGTTGGTTGTGCCTGAATGAAAGCTTTGAGGATAATGTGCAACGATAAATTGACAAGTCTTGCATGGTACGTTGGTTGTGCCTGAATGAAAGCTTTAAGGATAATGTGCAACGATAAATTGAGCATATGTACTTGTTTAGGATATATGTTATCGAGAGAGACCCTTGACAGCTCTAGGTAATCTTATGGTAATAACTCTTAATTAGATGAAGAGCTATCCATTTAGAGTAGGCCTGAACTCGGGCCGGGTGGCCCGACCCGAAACCGGCCCGAACCGGCACTGTTCTAGCCCGGCCCGGTCAGTGACCAGTCCGGGTAGGCCCGACCCGCGCAGGTTCCGGTCCGGGCTCGGGCCCCCCAAATCATGAACCGGCCTGGCCGGTTCGAGCCCGGTTCCGGGCCTTTTAAATTTTTTTTTTTCAATTTCTTTTTACTTTTCAAGTTGGGCTGGGTATTTTGGGCCATTTGGGGGTGGTTTGGGGTGAGGGGGGTGGGGGTTAACTTACTTAACTAGGGAAAGGGAAAAAAATAACAATGGCTCGAGGCCCGACCCGACCCGGAACCGGGGATTACCTGGGTCGGTTCCGAGCCCCCCATTCCAGAACCGCCGGCCCGGCCGGACCTAGGCCTGGCCCGGGCCCGAACCGGCCCGAGTCCAGGCCTAATTTAGAATAGTAATATTTGCGCGTAGGAGACACGGAGCTCCGGGAGATCGACCCGCGGGAACAAGACCGAGAACTGAAGAACCATTTGCTGAGGAAATACAGTGGCTATTTAAGCAGCCTTCATCTAATTAAGAGTAAAACCCTAACCCCAATATGAATTACTGGGTATTAAAGAAAGTAAAACCCTAACCCCAACAAAGATTACACATGAAGTAATTTGAAAACAAAGGTTGAATTGGTTTTTCTGGAAAAAACAATTAATACAATTAATGTCAACAAGGTGATTGAGCTGCCAAAAGAAAGGAATTAAGAAAAAGCGACTGCACTAACAACGATTATCTTAAATTAATCAATAAATTACGAAAGACAACAAGAAAACCCATGGGAATGCATGAAATTAAACTAGCGATATGGAGCGTCGGCGCTGACATGATGATGATGCATGTAGTGCCCGTCCATGTAAAGAGCGGCAGCAGCGGCTGTCTGTGGATGGAGGCCGTCCGCCATCACCATGAACTGCATGTCCTCAGATGGCTTCCAATGTCTTTTCCTTTGGTTGATAAACCAGTTGTTTATCTGCTTCTGGTCCAGGCCCGTTGCCTCGGCCAGCGCCACCTTCTCCGTCTCCGAGGGGTACGGCCATTTATAGTGGAGTTCCCACCAACTAAGCAACTTCTGCCTTGCCTCTTTGGGCAGCTTCCCTTTCTTCTTCTTCTTTGATAGTTCTTGCTTCAGGCTGCTTAAATAGCCACTGTATTTCCTCAGCAAGTGGTTCTTCAGTTCCCGGTCTTGTGCGCGCGGGTCGAGTTCTCGGAGCTCCGTCTCCCCTCCGCTGTTGTCTTGGTCCTCCTCCGATGACCCAACCCCCTCCCACTTCTCATCTCCATCTATATACAAGTCATAGGAATGAAGTGTTATTGTGAGAAATGAAAATTTTCACCTTTTGAGTCCAGTGGCGGAGCTCAATGTGTTCAAAACTATGCATGTGAACACCCAAAAGTTTGGATTAGAAGTGTAAAATTACATATATAAAATTGATTTAATAATCTATTGTACTTGACTTGTATAATACTTCTTAATTTGTACGTTATTTCGTAGTTTTTTTTTGCTTTTGAAAAGATGTATGTGTAGAATTGTACCATCAAATAATATTATTGCTCATAATTTTAATTGTAAAATAACTTTGAACACCCAAAATTTAGATGTTAGATCCACTGTTTGAGTTTTGCCATGCACACAATTATGGGGAAAAAGTTCACAAGCACACAATTGGCTCGGTCATTCATCAGTTTTTTTTAGTATTTTAAACTCTTTTGCAAGTGTTACATCTCAAATTCAACCCAACACATTCATTTTCAATTCAAATTCCGCATTTATCCTAAGTATGTAATTCGTAGTGTATGCTAATTGGTTTTGAATGTCTTATAATAACTATTCGACCTAAAGATGTTTGAAATAACAAATACTACAATGTTCCTACCGTTATCCGAGTACGCATTACTATTCCTACTTTATTCACATTTGATTGGTTTAATATGAATAAACAATTCATTTTTTTAATAATTGTGTAACTCTTCCTACTTTATTCACATTTGATTGGTTTAATATGAATTAAACAATTCATTTTTTTTAAAACTGTGTAACCCTCATCAGTCTCATGTCTCAATCTTAGATAACGGAGGAAGTAACTTTTTACAACTTCGTTCTCTTATTTCTTTGTTCATTCGACTATTACTTGTTCATTCAAATGAATGGAACTATATACATATACAACTTTACTAATTATAGATTTATACCAAGAATTGAAAAAAAAAATTGTTCCTTACTTAATGTGAATGTACCTAACTCACAAATTTTCCACTCCCCATCCAAAAAATAAAGGACGTTTGGACTTTGGAGTGTGTTGGTGTCTATCCCAATGCAACGTGGCCCTCTTAGTATCACAATTCACAATAGCCGTACAATCACCTATCACATTTCGACAAGGATGAATACAGCCCCCACTGCATCTAACTAAATAAATATAAAAAAAATGACTTCTCCATAATGTTTGGTGAACATTAATTTTATTTAATATTTTAATCCAAAATATACTATTTTCTCTCGGGACCCCGTTGTTATCTTTTCTTTTCTAGTTGGCTCAAAAAGTGCGCCACATTACTTATCAAAAAGTGTAACATTTCCTTATTAGGCAAGATATGTTAGGGCAATTTAATACTGTAATTTGAAATTACTAACCACAAACCACAACCACAATATTTCATTCTATACACTCAAACACTAACCACAAATTTTAATTTGAAATTACTCTCTAATAATTTTTCAAATCAAAACTAAGACAAAATGACCCAATTCATTTTATTATAGGTAGTACTAAAAAACTAACACTATTTTTAACTTAAAATTACTCTTTAATAATTGTGCAAACCAAAACAAGAAACAATTGTATTTTATTTAATCCCTCCGTCCCTAAAAAAACAACTTTCATATTAAGATAATGTGTATTGTGAGATGGAGAATTGGCAGATGAGAGAAAAATGTGAAAGAAGCGTTGTTAACCACAAATTCCTTATCCAAATGAAAAGTGAAAGTTTAATCCCTCTCAAAAAAATAAAGTGAAAGTTTAATTCGGAAATATTATTTCTCTTTTGTCTAAAGACGTTTTACCTTTTTCGTCCGTCCCATCAAGTTTGTGTCATACCATATTTGGTAATATTTGAGTGGTTATAATTCATTTTTACTTTATTCAAACTTTATCAATTCAATATCAACCACGCAATTCTACTTTTCTCAAAAACCACACAACATCCGTTTGTCCCAAACTTAGGGGATTGAGGTACTAGGCATTTATTTTCTTAAATCGAGTTCGTTTATAAATTGCGAGTAGAAAAAGCTGGAAAATAAAAATTCTACGAAGTGGAAATAATTAGAAACTGACAGTGGGTACAGGCTACATTGGAAAAGGGATTGATATGGACAAGAATTGACAGGAATCAGCAGACTAATACAAAACCCATCTGAAAACACTATTTATGTACACCAGCTTTATGTGTCAACAATCTACATTAATAAACGTCGTTGATGATGAATCAATTAATTAGAAATGTACGTATTTCTTTTTCCTTTTTTTAATCTGTTTGAATAAACCAAAAATGATATATTCGCCTTTATAACTTTATTTCCCAATTTAATCTAATTATTTTAATAAAAAGGATGTGTAATTATTAATTGATAATTGAGCAAGTTCAATTATTTGATGGATGGAACAATAATTTCATCACATCCAACTGTTTCAATCAAATTCAATCTTGCACTTTCTTGTCAATAAGTTTGATTGTACTTCGGTTCGTAGAATGTCAAATGAATCACAATCTACAATATAAACTAATGTAATAATAACATCTCCACATCTGTTTGTTTGCCTTTGGTTTTGTATATGGACTGAGCAATTAAGGGTTTATATCAGTATATCACAATAAGCGAATTATTTTTTTATTTCAAAATTCAAATATAGTTTAAACTAATAAAGTAATAAGCCATACTTTATACGGTTTACAAAGGTAATCATATTTGAAAAGTTATACACATAATCCCTACTTGCTAACTTTTACACAAATAAATTATCACTTAATCCCAATTTGATAATTTTTTAACAAATAAATTGTAACTTCGCGATATCACATTCCCATTATACTTCAAATGTGTGAAATTGCTAATAAGTTTAAGTTTCTTTGCATTAGGAACATTCAACGGAATAAACGTGGCTCGACAAAGAGGTCGTTAACCCGATGAATAATAAACCAGGTTAAACTAAGAACGCGTTAACACAATGAATTGAAAAAAAAGGGGATGACATATTCCTGAAATCACCTAGAACTACTGAACAATATAAATTGAGCTTTGATCTCTCCCGTGTGACTCTCTTCTTACCGGGTGTGCTATGCCCCCGGTTAACACGATAAATTGAACATGTGACCTCTCGATAACTATTTCTAACTACACCATCAACTCAGTCAAGTCTCACTTCATTTCTCTAAATATAATGTGCTCTATACGACTATACATGTGCTCAAAGATTGGATCATGAGTTAATTCATTTATTTATTTCAACCAAACGCAAAATAAATTGAAACAGACTGGAGTAGATGAAAATTTGTACTACCATAATTGAATCCCCAAATGAGGGGGTATTAAGGAGAATGGGAATGTTGTTTTGGGTCAAAGGCCCAAATTTATCTCGAAAATGGAAATAGAATAGAGGATGGGACGTATTAGCATAGAACGAATAGTCGTTTACACTGTACAAGAAAGTTGAAAAACTGAGTCCTGCAGATTTCAATGATATGATACCTATCTGTTACGTACTCTAATTTGGGACATGAACCACCAACACCCACTTTATTCGTCCCCACTCTCTTTATTTTATTTTATTTTATCTGTCCTTAAACTTACCCGATCTTGCTTCATGCTAGTAATAAATCTATTCTATATTCGATTATTATTACTCAATCTTGCCCAAACTAAGGTTTATCTTCTACAGTATTCTTCTTACACGCAACTTGTTTCATTTTATAATAATGTTCTTTTATCTAAATAAAAAGATTATTATAAATACTCCGTTCTAAACAAAAAGAAAAGCCATAAATTGGAAGAGAAAGCAATATTTATTACCTTCTTTAATTTGGTTGTCTCGATACGTTGTATGAGTATCACTGCTTTTATATTTTTCCCACTATTTCTATATTTTTCTTCTTTTTTGCTACATTTACGGATTACGGAATAACTATCTAACTACACCCTTGCTATATTTTTTGCTACATATACGGATATACGGTTCTTGTGTGAATTAAACTCGGTAGACCAATTTCATGAGTAGGGATATCGAGTATTTATTATACTTGAATTTAGTTTTCATAATGCAATAAATATTATACTTGAACTTGCATCTTATTTATATTTTAGTCATATTTATGGACTTTTCTCTTTTTGTTGTATATAGTTTCTCTTAAATGTCAACTTTCTTGGAGTGAAATGAGTTTCAAACTTGTGAGTTTCAAACTTTTGAGTGTCACAATTTTATGAACTTTTCTCTTATTTTTCCTAATATAATGCTACAAATTTTATAATGCAGAACTTTTCTCTTGTTTTCCCTAATCTAATGCTACAAATTCTATAATGCAGATCAAATTACAAATTACATCACCGATCGATCTTTGTAAATAAAACATGAGCACAAAAGTAGTGTGCTTATAAGGATCTTTGTAAATTTTGGTGGTCTGGTCTGATCTGATTGGTCTAGTTTATTTAAATCTGGTCTGGTCTGGTCTGAATTGGTCTGATTTGGTTTAGTCTGTTTAAGTCTAATCTGGTCTAGTCTGAACTGGTCTGATAAACGTCTGGTCTCTGTGTATTTTATGACAGTTCAGGTCTGTTTAAGTCTAGTTTAGTCTAATTGGGTCTGGGACTGAAAACAATCCAAAAGAAAACATCCTCAATTCCAGAGTAAATTAAACAAAGTAAGTTTTGGCGTTTTGCCATATATAAATAAATAAATGCTACGGAATACATAATTTTAATGCTTATAAAATCAAAGCTTTATAAATCCTATTCATTCATAGATTCTTTTACGCTGTTAAGTTACTCCATACTTTATAAAGTTAAAATTATAGATTTATGAACTTTTAAATCCTTTCAAATTCTATCAAACTTTACATTTAAAATAGTCATCATTCCACTAAACCTTCATTCATTGATGCACTTATCCTTCCAAGTACCACGTGACATACCACACTTTGTTTATTAACGTTTTGTTAGTCACATACTCACATTGCATTCTACACAGTACGTAGTATTATTGTACTACAAAGTTAAGTAATCTACTCAAATAATACTCGTATAATTAAAATAACTAAATGTCAAGCAGCAAATATACATTACCTTTTCAGTGACGCATAGATAAAATCTGTTCGATGATCCAAATAGTACGGAGTAATTCGTAAAAAAGCACATTATAGCAAATGTAACCAAGTACAAAGTACGGAGTAGTAGGGAGTACTTTTTAAAAGCAGCAATACACATTTTTAGTGGTAACTTCTGAAATTAAACATTATATTATTCGTTTATACTTGTTGATTTGTACCAACTTATTTTAAATCATTAATTATATACAGCTTTTAGTAAATTTTAAAAAAAAATGATGACAAAATATGATACTACGCGAGGATCGTCCCCACTTGATAAGTGAAGTTGCGGTCGTCTGGTCGACTTAAGTTACTTAACATGGTATGAATAAATTTATGCACTTCAAAATTGCCAAATGTATCATGAGAAAACAAACCGAAATGGATAAACAAAAAAGATGAGAATAAATAGAGATTAGAGGATATGAGTGCAAGGAATTCAAATATCGTATACTCCTATAAGTTTCTACATAGTATAATCGAAAATTATAGTTCAAATTTAAGAACCCGTCTAAAAATAGGAACTCTGAATAACCAATTGGGTCAACTTAATCGGATGAATTATGAAAAGATTCTGTTCAAAATATATTTTACTTCTTCGACCAAAAGTCCAAAATGCTTGTTTTGATGATTATTAAATCAAATAAGACTTTCATTATGAGATTATTACTTCGTGTAATGTTGGATGTCACGTAGCTAATTACATTCTACCTGAAAACGTACGACATACTTGGTATAATGTTATACGACTGGAGTACATAACATTACGTGACGCCTAGCAATAAGTAGTAAGAACTAAGAAATGTAGTCAAGAAGAGGGGTGATAAACTCCCAAAACTTTATAATAAGAGTGGTATCGATCCGTTTATAGATTTGAAATTTGAAAATATGTTAAAAATAAGTTAAGTTAATAGTCCAAAATTCAGACAAAAAAAATATACGAGTAAAAAACACGGAAGTTTATAAGACTTCAAAGCTGAGAGATTGGAATTTTTTGTGGAGAGCCTAATTCCTAAATATGTCAAAGGCCATAATCCGATCTACAGACTCATTTATACACACATCGTGACAAAAAAAAATTAGTCGCCAAACCAAAAATACCAAAGGATTGAATTCGAGGAGAAGTAAATTGATGTCTCTTTATATTAATTAGTTCATTGTGTGAAATACTTCTTTTTTGTGTGAAATATTTCAAACATTAAGCAAGGAACTCTGTAAAAAATTTAAGGAAGTCATTATTTAAGAAAGAAATTGAGAGGTTACCGGAGTTGAAAATCCTGACCGGACCGTCGCATAAAACGTTAAGCTGCGATTCAATCCGTCGCATGAACTCCATTGCCTCTTGGAAAGGCCTCGCCAGCTCCTCCCCACACTTCACCAGCATTTCACAGTAAGCTCCCTGTACCATGAAACTTTCTTAAAGTAATTCAAATATAAATTTCAAACAATCTCATTCTTCAATGTACAACTTTTTGCAGCGATTTCATTCTAGTGATAAAGGTAAATAGACATTCAGAGCTCGTTTGATTATTCTTTTTTCGACTTATCATGGAATTTATTCACCCAACACGTAATTTTTCTACCGCAACAGAAGTTTATAAATTTTAACTATTTTTTCATAAATCAATCAAATCAGCCACTTTTTCCGCCAAAAATTAAAATATTTCAACAGAATCAACATGTCAATCGATTTGGCTTCTAAACGTGCTCTTAATATGATACCAATTTACTCCTTCCGTCCCCGAAAGAAGTTTTTCATTTGACTTTCACACACTTTTATTTAAGTAAACTTACCAGGGGATAAATTTTACGGTTTCGACACTGTTTGACACTGTTTTGATACTGTTTTGCACTATTTTGATGTAGATAACTTTTCATTTAGAGATATGGGAACTTAAATTAGGGACATCCAAATAAGAAAAGTGAGAACTTCTTTCGGGGACGGAGGGAGTATTACATTTACGAGGTAAGGTACCAAAATTAATTAATTGAAACATTTTTTTCATGAGTGGGAGTGAAAGAAATATTGAAGCAGCCCTCACCATGAATTCGTCCAGTTCTGGGTCCTTGGAGAAATCTATAGAACCAAACGAAGCTCGCTGCTTCACCTCTGCCTCTTGCCGGACCGTAGTCAGACGCGCCACCACTTCCGGCGGAGCACCGACCTTCATATTCCACCATATCATTTACATGAAAACAATATAAGTAAACAATAAAAAAAAATACCCTCAAATCATTTCTATAAGAATATCGGTAAATGAACATAATATTCTACCTTTTGACAATCAATATACGCTTCCAGGAGATTAGAATAGTTGGGATGCGCCACGATCTTAGCCTTCAAAGCATCTCCGTCACCGATAGAGTTTCCGGCCGCCGCCGGCCCTTGCTGCTGCTGCTGATGATACTCATGATCTCGGGCTATCAAAGGGTACTGAAACATCTGGTGGTGGTGGTGAAGAGAGGCGTTTTCTCCCTCGCTCTTTACCTGCGGAGAATGCCCTTCCGATTGACTATAGCAGTCGCCGCCGCCGCCGGACTGGAGATGAAACCCGGTGGATATGTGGTTGCTTTCCGCGGCGCCGGCGGGTCTCCCGTAACTTCCGAGAACCGACCCGCCGCCGCCGTACATGAAGTTGCTGTGGCCGTTGCCCCTTTGCCTCGCCGACACGACCACGCTTTCCTCTCCCAGCTGATTGAAGCTCTCCATTTTTTTCTTTCCGGCGATGTTACCGGAAAATTAAAGAACCGGCCTGGTTGTGTAAGAACTACTTACAGAAGAAGATTGGGAACCGCCATTAGTTATGTCTGATCGTCGTTTTTCTGGGTCTTGAGTTGATGTTGATTCATTGGAGTAAGTTTATGAGCAAAGTACTTGTTTTCATTGACTGGAACCTGAACGGTGATGAGAAGGAAGAAGTTTTGGTCGGAGGTAATCGGCGGTTGCTGGCCGCGCCGGGATCGGTTATTGGTGCTCAACTACAAAACGTTTTGTGCGGTTGAGAGCATTAATAAATAAATTGAAATTTTTTTGACGAATTACGTAGACCTGATTACATAACGAGTATATATACGATGCAAATTATGAGACCATCTGACAACAATGTTTTTCAAGCTTCTCAATCAACTTTTTCATCAAATACATAATTTTTGTTTTCGCGCATTGAATTGTTTAATAAGCAGAAAAAGTAGAGTTAAAGTTAATTTTTCGATTGTATTGACTGAAGTTAATGTAGATAATCATTTTAACTTTTTTCACATATAATTTTTTCTTTATTTTATTAACAAAACATATATTTTTTTCCCTTAAATCAGCAGAATCAGTCAATGCAGCCGGAACTTTATAAATTTCAGCATAATAAGACAAATCTGTCAATTTTTCGTATTACCAAACGAGCTATATATAATTGTTTTAGTAATATACACCTCAAAATTACGAAGTAGTGGATGTTGAAAAAATGTGTGAAAAATTGCATTAAATGGTAATTGTGGGGCAATTTTTTTAGTGGGGTCCACTTCCGATTTGGGTCGGGTCAAAGTGGTTTCGGATTGTCCTTGTTAAGGGCTACAATTCGATATATGGTACGCTCAAAACGGATAACGGGTGAATGAGAAATCGCTTTTCGAAATTTACCCGTTAGAATGGAAAAAGTGGGAAAAAGGATGGGTGTCCAGTGTGTTATTTCCCACACCGGAAAACCCGAGGGATTTGCAACCCTTTATAAAGGGACTCCCCCCTTAAGGAGTTAGAATTCCTTAGGGTAAAGGCTCTCTCCACGCGCGCAGGGGGATGCAAATCAAATCCCAAAATCGGAGAAGAAAAACCGCAACTTGCGAGCGCGGGCGACCTGCGGACACGAATGTCGTCCAAAAGTTTATCTCTCAAGAGATACGGTTTAATTTTGTTTTCTTCCCGAAACGTTTATTTTTTCCCAATCACAGAAGTGCCTAGCGGCAGAACTGCTCCGGTCAGACGGTCAGAAGGCCTCGACCAGAACACCTCGGTGTGGTGTTCTGGTGGCGTCGGACAGAATCCCTCATGGGGGTATTCTGTTGGCTTCGGACAGAACCCCTTGTGGGGGTATTCTGTTGGCTTCGGACAGAACCCCTCGTGGGGGTATTCTGTTGGCTTCGGACAGAACCCCTCGTAGGGTGTTCTGTTGGGAGATCTTCTGGTCGCGTTCTGAACCGTTACAACAATAAATGTCCAACGTTCTTATCTTTTAATGCAGAGTTAAATGGACAGTTCATGGACGATTCAATGCCCAACAGACTGGTCATTGATGTCCAACGTTCAGGTCCATTAATTCACCATCTACACACAACAAATCCTCTTATATAATGGCTGGCTAGTGGTTTGCAACAACACAAGTTCTTACACGTGAATACACATTCTTTCCGTATTTTTCTTCAGAAAAACACCTCCAGCATTCCGAAAATTTCCCAAGTGTTCATACTGTGTTCTCGTTCGCTGGAACTCTTGTTTGTGTGCTCAAACACTAGTTCGTAGTCATCGTATCCTGGGAAACGATTGTTGCAACGCTCCTAGCACCGTGGGAGGCAACAAATACGTTTTAAGGGCATCGTGCGTCGCACGAGCTTTGACTAATTTTGCTTCATCTCCTTTCTTGTTTTTCTCTAGTCATTTTATTTAATTAATTTATTTTAATTAATTTTCTTTATTTTCCGAAACACACCCAACAGTGGAGTACTAAATAAGACTATAAGATTACTAATTTTTTCGTTTATGAAACAAAATTTTAATCGCTATACATCACTCTTAGATGTTTCTTCCAAAATAACAATTACTCGTATATGTTTGGGATTTTCCTTTACAAAAATGTTTAAGCTTTCCCTTAAATATTACGGAGTATTAAGAGAAGTGTCAAATCGAAATTTTATAATTTTTAATTCATCACTTTTTTATCATTCTTAATTCATAACTCAAACCCTTCTTTTAAAAATATACTTTGTATCATATAATAACACTTGGGACAAGTTTACTTTACAGCCTTATAGGTTACTAAACGGTGCTTATTAAGACTCGTGTTAATAAGCGGCACATAAAATAAGCAATGTTGTAAAATCATGTTTACTTTAAAGGGGTTTGAAACACCGTTTAACATTAAAATATCTAAAATAACTCCATACATATATAGACACACAAACATTCATGAACACAAGTACGGAGTATATAATATAATATGTGGGTCTCCTCGTAAGGTACACCCCTTAACCCCTATCCCACCCTATACCCCGTACCCCCCACCCTACCCTACCCCGATTCCACACGCTTGACCCCTACCCCTACCCTTACCAAGACTTTACCCTTTATCCGTACTCCCATAGAACCCTTCATACCCACTCATACCCCTAACAACTACCCTACTTGTAGGGGTGAGGTCGGGGTAGGGTCGAGGTAGGGTAAGAGAGTATGGGTGGGGTGGGGTTATGGTCAAGGGTAGGGTGGTTAAGGGACAAGGGTAGGGGTGGGTGTGATGGGGTAGGGTGGGGTCGAGGTAGGTGGCATAGTAGGGGATAAGGCGGTAGGGGTCGGGGTACGGATGTTATGGGGCGGGTGGGGTTTGGGCCGGGTGTGGTATATGGTCAAGGGTGGGATAGGGTAGGATGGCGGTAGGGTGGGGAGAAGGTAAGGGCATGTGGTAGGGGATGGGGTAGGGTTGTTGTAGGGGAAATGGGGTACGCGGTGTGGGGTGGGCTAATGGTCCAGGGTAGGGTAGGTAAGGATAAGGGGTAAGCTACAAAGATGGAGGTAGTGGGTAGGATGAGTTCGGGGTTCGGGGTGGGGTCGGGTAGTGGGGTAGGGGTAGAGGGGGGTAACGATAAGGTTAGGGCAATGAGTAATTAAGGGTAAATTCGGAAAGTGAAAAAACTTAAAGTGCCGCTTAACTAATACATGTGAAGGGTGGTATGCTTAGTAAGCGGTACTTTAAGCACCTGTTTCAATAAGTAAGCATCTTTGTAAGCAGCGTTCATGTTACTTCACTGGTCTTACTAATATAACTGTGACTTTAACAGCATAGTAAACAAGTTATTAGTTTTTAAATACAATCAATCAAGTTTTCTAGACATGCTAGAGCAGGTTATATTTTAAAAATAAATTAAAACTATTGATAAATCCTATGGGTGGGCAAAATGGTTTGGTCTAACCGAACCGAACCAAACCGAAAGTTGGTGGTTTGGTTTGATATGAGTTTGCTTAAGTAAACCGTTTAGTAAGAATTTGCTCAAACCGAATGATTTGGTTTGGTTTAAAACCGAAAAAACCGTGAACCGTGAACCGAACACCAAACACACACCAATATTTATAAATACTTTGTATTTATCCCCACTCTTCATTTTTAAGATATAAGTAAACAATTTAGACATAAAAATACATATTTAGCATATATCATTTTAACTTTTACACATTTCATATATTCATTATGACAAAGCTAGCTAATACGACATATTTGTATTTGTTATGTTTGGTGATAACAATAACAAATTGTTTTTATATTTTTACACATTCATTTGCATGAAAATGTGAATATTACAACATTTGTACCACCGACTCGATTAGTTTTTTTAATATTTTATGTGCAATTATACACGCCAATCAACTATAATCTTAATTTTTGTGAAAAGTGAATCTCTTTCTAGTGATAGAAAAAGATGTGAGAAGTTTTAATTTTTTTATTTATTATTATTATTTTTCTATCTTTTATTTCTTTTGACATTTTATTTAAATAATCAATAAAAGAATATGAGATGGACTACTACTTTCATTTTCTAATTCTAAAATATAGAACTAAATTAAACCTAATAATTTTCACTTCGGTAATTAAACCTAAATTAAACTTACTTTCAAACCGAACCGAAACTAAACTGAACACATGCAAATGGTTTTAGTTTGGTACAAATTCTCCCAAGCCAATTAAACTTAAATCGAAGCGAAACTGAAGAAAACTAAACCGTAAATCAAATTGCTCACCCCTAATAAATCCTATAAAAATTCCTATGAATTTGAAAAATATTGTAATAATATTAAAAACAGCATAAATGGAAAAATAGATAGATAATTTTAAAACGTAAAAAAATATAAAGAATCAAAAACTGAAAACAAACATTAGTGAATATCCAGAAAAGATATAAAATATACTCCATGTGTCCCGTTAAGACGATTGTCTCATATTTCTTTTTCGGTGTGTACTCAGTTACTTACATGTACTATATAATTATGACTATAATTGTGTTCATAGTTTACGTCTACTATCGTAGTGTTTACATGTAATTACTATGATGTAAACTTGAAAATCATTATAGTCACTAATAATTATTAAGTAATAATATTTGTGTTTACCATATTTTAAAGAGTAATATTAATGAAAAATATTCTATATGCTTTGATACAATATTATTTTCTCCCCCAAAGTATATAACAAAATGAGTAAATTGATGCCACAATTACTCCTGATATATAACAATAGACATATCATATACGGAGTATTTCAAAATAAGATTGATATGTTTTGTTCCCCACAAATATAGGTAAATGACCACTCCTATCAAATCATAGTCCTATATTTGAAATTCCTCATTTTTTCTCCTATTAGGATAAAATTTCGTACTCCCTCTGTCCCGTAAACAACTTCTCACTTTCCTTTTTGGGTTGTCCCGAAATTAACTTCACACATCAAAACAGTGTCAAACAATGTCAAACAATGTCCAAATAGTGTCAAACAGTGCTTAAATAGTGCAAAAAAGTGCACTCAACAGTAAAATCAAATTTATTTTCTTAATCTGTATGAAGTCAAAGTGTAAGCTTAATTGCGGGACGGGGGGAGTATTATTGATAGGTATATTGGAAGATTCTAATTTTTAATTCACTAGGATTAACAATTAGTTTAATTTAAACAATTAGTTTTTCAATTCTTGCAAACAAAGAAAAACAAACCTTTTTTAAAGGAAAATGCATATATTTATATCATTAGTTTCGAAACTGTTCATCAATAAATAAAAGTCATATCTAACACCAACTAACCTCCACCCTT